TACACTTTATGGCAAACAAATGCAAGTTTAAACTTTTCTTCTTTATAATTGCTGTGTAATAAATTCAGGTGTCCTGATAAAATTAAATAGAATATGGACATGTCTCAATAGTACATAAAATAAATTTTACCAGTGATCATCAACCAAATACCTCAAGGACAGCTGGCACAATAAAGTCCAATACATAAACATATTGGATGAAAAAGCCCACCCTGGCTGGTGTGGCTGAGTGGATTAAGTGCCTGCCTGTGAACCAAAGAGTAGCCGGTTTGATTCCCAGTCAGAGCACAGGCCTGGGTTGTGGGCCAGGTCCCCAGTGGGGGGCATATGAGGCAACCACACATTGATGTTTTCCTCTTTCTCCTTCCTTTCCCCTCTCTGAAAATACAATCTTTAAAAACAAATCCTGGTAACAGCTGTAATGGTGGTTGACTTGAGTCAGTGAATTTGTACAAATGGATCACAATGCTAGGCCTCCAGTATGTCTGCTTCAACAGAAAGAACCCACAATTACGTAGAAGCAAGCAGAGCAAAAGTTTATTGAAAATACGGTACACATTGGACAAAGGAAGTACAGGTTCTACCAGGAATGAGTGGCAGGATGGAGTAAAGGGTTGGCATATTTTTCTGGTTTGTTTGTTACCAATGAGTTTCAGTACTTTCCTGATGTCAAACCATTTCATCCAGGGACACTGATAAAAGCAAAGACAGATTTTTGAGGCTCTGCATTGGGCAAGAACACTGAGATAGTGCCTAAGGATCTGTGCCCAGACTATGAGGCTTAGGAAACACAGAAGGTGCTGGGGTTTGTGGCATGACTTTAGATGTGAGAAACAAAATTAAATGAAGTCAGGGTAGCTATTAGACCATTGTTTTTTAGCTACCTATTCACAACTGCCATAGTTCTGGCAGGGCTTGACTTGATGGGGCAATTTGGGGGAACACTTTTTTCTGTTTCATTCCCCCCCCGGAGAGACTTTGTACTTATAATTTATTACAGGTTAGTCGATGGAGGTCTCTTCTTCTGTAGCTTCAACCTGTAGATGAGGGACATTGGCCTAAGTGAGAAAAAAACTTTTTAATACATTTAGTTTTATGTACAAAGCAACTTGTACATTTTAAGGTTTAAAACTTGAGTATCAGCTCTGGCCACTGTGATTCAGCTGGTTGGAGCCTCTTCCTGTAACTGAAAGGTTGTGGGTTTGATACCAAGTCCAGGGCGGGTGTATGCAAACAACCCTAGGTCTGAACACGTATGATCCCCAGTCTGGTGTGTATCTGAGGCAACCAGTTGATGCTTCTCTCTTGCATCAGTTTCTCTCTCCATTCCTCTCTAAAACCAATGAAAAAAAAAAGTCACCAGATGTGGATAAAAGTAAATAAACTGAGGTTCATCTTTCCTTCATAGTGAAGCAAAAAGAAGTGTAAAAAATAAACAGGAATAAAATTACACCAGAGAAATGTCAATTCTGAATAAAATCCTGTATTCCTGATCCTCTCATCTAGTGACAGCACTCAAGTCACTGTTATTTAGGAAGATGCCTGGGGAGCACTGACAACAAACGACTCCCCCTGTTCTTTTAGAACAGTGTGAATGCAAAGGGGCCATATACTAAACCTGCCAAGCTCAGGGGAGGCCTGCATGGTAGCCTTATTAACTCAGAGTCCTAAAGTAACCACAAAGGATGGTCTGAAACTGATACATATTAACTAAAAGCAGTTTATGGCAGGTCATCATGTTGTAGGCTACAATCTTCCCTGACAAAAGGCAATCTTCCTTGTAAGCTGTGTACTGTCTTTTTAAAAAAAGACTTGATTTGTCTTTAGACAAAGGAGAAGGGAGGAAGAGGAGAGAAATATCAATGTGTGGTTGTCTCTCATGCACACCCCCACTGGGAACCTGACCTGCAACGCAGGCATGCATCCTGACTGGGAATCAAACCAGCAACCCTTTGGTTTGCAGGACGGCACTCAATCTACTGAGCCACACCAGGCAGGGTGTGCATTGTCTTTCTGTATCTATGATTAACATACCTTTGAAAAATCAGAACTTGCTTTTTCTAGAATCTTCAAAGTGCAGCTAGTGGAGACCACAAATCTCCTTGTTAATTGTTGACTGTTAATTATCCTGCACCCATTTAAAAAAACTGTTTCTGTCATTTTGTTTTTTATCCAATTACAAGAGTTCCTCCCACCTGGCTATTCTATCACTAATGGATATCACATAACCCATTTACATCCTCTCTTTTAATTGTAATATATAAGGCAAGCTGCAGAACTGCCATTCTCTGGAGCATTTTCTCAATCTGTTGAGGTTTTGCTTCCCAGAAGTTGTCATCATTTGACTCAAATAAACTGGTAATAAATTCTTACAGGTTTCGATGTTTCTTACATTCACAACAGTCCATCACCCACCACCGCTAACTGTGCCATGGTCACAATGACCCAACAGTTTGCCCAACTGGCTCCCATCTCTGGGAATCTGGCGTAAGGATTTCAGTGGTGGTCAGAGCGTAGCAAGCAAACACAGGGAAGACTGGAAAGGAGGACGTTAGTCCAGAACGTGGTCAAGCCTGTAGGAAACACACGGCAGGTGCTACTTTCTCATCCAGCCACCAAGCACAGACTATAGAAGGACACGAGACCAGGATCCTGCAGGTCTCAAATATCATTTCTGAATACTGGGTGCCAGGGTTCATGGTCCAGCTGTCCACACTCCTGTAGGGTCAATGTCAATGTCATGTACCAGAACATCTCAAGAGTCAAACTAAGGCACCACACTCACCACAGTGGATGGGATCCAAGCCTGTCACCAAAAAATGAGGGGAAGAGAGACACAGGCTCTAATCACTGAGGTGTCCAGAGGGCAAAACTCCGTGTTGGTCTCAAAAGGGAGGCAAATTGCAACTCAGAGTCAAAGAAGACTTCCCTGAAGAAACCACTGGAGATGACACAGACAACAACATTCCTGAGAGGACTTCAGGTCAGATGGTAAGTGCACTGGAATGTCAAAGGAATGGCGGGAAAATCATGGTAATAGAAACAATGCAAATGGCAGAGGCAGCAACAGTATACCTGCCCCACAGGCTTCACAAGCAGTGGTAGAGATTGTGCCTAGTTCTGAAACAGAATCCCAGGTAGGAATTGACACTTGTCTGCTGTGTAAACTTGGAGAACCTTCTATATTTCTCTAATGCTGAATTTTCTCAGCAATTCAGTATTAGTTTCACTTTTCAGGTGGTTCCAAAAATCAAAAAAATGCCCAACAAGTTAACCCTGGAATCCTGGCATCGACAAGTACTGAATTTGTTACTTCTATTGATCTTCAAAAACCAAGGTAAGAGTTATCATCACCTGAATCTCACATTAAGCCAATTGAGACTGAAGGAGCTCTAGCAAGTCACTTGGGAGTTTCCTGGGGAAAGACCCCACAGTGATACCTCTGTGCCCAGCAGCACCTGCCTTCCTGCAGGTGAATCAGCAGGTTGCGAAAAGCCCTATTGCTCATAGGCACCCCAAAACAACAGGGCCTTGTGGGCACTGAAGGGAATGAGGGGTGCCTGGCCTAAGAATGTCTCGCAGTCAGAGGCTGGAATTGCCTAAGCCCAGGCAGACTGCAGGTGCAGCTTCTGCACTGCAAGTGCAAACTTTAGCTCTTGACCTCCTCCAGCAACTCAGGTATGAAGACATACCCATTTTACACTGAAGAAAAAAAAGGCCAGGAGTAGAGGGAGCATCATTTCTCTGTGACTCCCAATGATATTTGGGGCTCTGGGATTCAAACCCAGGCTTCCTGACCAGAGCATATGGGAAGAGATCACTGCCCTCCTATTTTCCCCTCCAATGGGGTTTGGGACTCCATCTGCATGCCATCTGGTCCCCTTGAGCGTCCTATTGCAACTTATTAACCACCATGATAGCAGACCAGAAAAATGGGAGAACACTACAAAGCAAGAGCTTACTGTATTATTAAATGTCTCAACTTCTGTAAATAACAGAAAAACGTTATCAGATCAGGTTAAAAGTGTTCATTAATTTGTGCAGAGGACAAAATTTTAAAAAAATATTAGAATATATTATTCCAATATAAAACCAATTATTCTATATTGAAAAAGGCACAAAATGAATGAAATTCCAACATGCATCTTTCTAGTTTCACTGTCCTTTTGTTAAAGAAAATTGCCAAAATTCATAGCAGATTAGGTTGAACATATAATCAGACATTTTACCAAACATACACAGATAGCAAACAAGGCTATACATCTGAAACAAGGCTCACCATAAATCCTTAGGGAAATGTAACTAGTGAGGTAGCATGACAAAGTTTAAAAGGGTTGACATAAAGAACAATTGGCCAAACCAAATATTCTCTAGGACATGAAGGTATTGGACCCCTCATATACTATTGGGAGAATGCAAAAAGGTAAAATTAGTCTAGATCACAACTTGGTAACTTAAACATTTACCTACTCTACGACTCAGACTGAGAGTGCACTGTGCACTGAATTATTGACAAACGTAAAAGAAACATGTATCTATGTAAGGAATTATACAGAAACGTTTATCCCAGCTTGATCTTCAATAGTCAAAAATTTAAAATAACCTAATGTCCATAAATGAATGGATAAACTAATGGTAATACATTTGAAGATAAGAATATTTCTCAGCAAAAGATGTGCTAATATATCATTAAATACATCTCTAAGTATTTATGGTATTTATGCAACATAAATTAAACCAGAAAAAATACTGTGATCCCCATCATATAAATTCTAGAAGATGTAAAGTTACCCATTAAAATAAAAAGTAACTAATGGTTACTTGGGAGAGCTGTGAAGGGCAGGGAGAGAGATTTTTAAAAGATATGAAGTAGCCCTGGCTTGTATGGCTCAGTGGATTGAACGCAGACCTGGGAACCAAAAGGTCACCAGTTTGATTCCCAGTCAGGGTACAACATATCTGGGTTTCAGGCCAGATCCCCACTTGGGGGCGTGTATGAAAGGCAACCAATGGATGTTCCTCTTCCTCTTTAGGTCCCTCCCTTCCCCTCTCTCTAAAAAAAATTTAAATAAGTAAAATCTTTATTAAAAAAGATATGAAAAAAAATACACAGTGACAGATATGGTCAGCATTATGGCTGTGGTGATGGTTTCATTTTAATACATAGGTCAAACTTCATCAGATACTATACTTGAAATATATCATTTAGTACATGTGTATTATACCATACTAAAGCTTTTAAAAAATTGCTCAAGATAAAAAAGAAAATTGTGTATCCAACTTTTTAAAAAATAGGGTTGGCAACTATATTCAATTCATGTGCTCATGCCCTCTAGTGGTCAGTCTTGCCTTAGTGACAGCACATAGAGCAAACAATGACAGAATATAGCAAACCAGGAATGCTGACTGGGTCACAAAAGCCACATCCCTGGACTATACATACCCCTTTTCTTTACCTTTGATTTCCTGCCTGGGCACCAACTGTCTTGAGGTGAACATCTGAGGCCCTACAGAAATTCACAAAATCTTTTGATTATTTTCAATGAAAATGACTTGGGCCACAGAAGACAAATAAGTTGGGAGAGTCTCAGATTTGTGAACTCACCACTCCCGCTATCTTTTTCACAAATACACTTCTTGATACATGTTTCCAAGAGGCACATTCCATCTAGTTGGCTGCAGTCTCCTCCAACCCCTACTAGAATAGTGATTCTCTAGCAACCATAACTTCCCATAACTTCTACTGTCCTACAATCAAGTGACTACCACCTATGGTATTGTAGGTAACAGGGCACATGGCTCATTTTAAGACCTTTGAAAGTGATTCCCTTCAAAAGTACTGACATACCCTGTGAACCAGGTAAATTCATGCTACTCGAAGAACTTTTTTTCACAAATGCTCTTCCTCAGGTGATTTTTGAGTCTCCTCGAACTTATAGCATCCTGGCTTCACGTGACCAGGAAGCCCTGCAGTCTTTCCTAAGAGGACATGGGCAATAATACAAATTTGGTAAAAAATGGTGACCTAATTGCTGCGACCATATCACCCAATCTGAGGCAGAGAAACTTTGAGACCCCCATAAAGGTTGCTCACCTCTTCATGCTTGTAGAGCCCACATCTGCTTATAAACCCCACACAAAAATACAATACTCAAGATTAAAGGGCACTTAAAAAATAAGACATTCATTATTTTACAAACCAAAGAGACATGGACCTGGCAGTTCTTGCATTGGTGACTTCAACACTGAACATATTCATCACAGGTGTCTAGGGAAACCAGGTCCCTGAAGAAAACAGTCCTTCTCAAGCTGCCCGCTGAACTCAGATGATGTTTTCCGTGGTCAACAATGGGTCAGGTCCATGCCCCAACTAGTCAGAGTAAAGGAAATGCAGATCTCCTAAGGGCTGAGGCTACTCCTAAATCCCTCCAACAAATCAGAGAACAGAGTTAGCTTCCCTGAGGACATTAGGACAGTGACTGATGAAAACTGTGGGGACCTGCAAGGTAATACAAGTAAAATAGCTTCAACCAGAGAAATTTTGAGTGATGTAAATCTGCAAAAGATCTGTGTCAATTAAAAAGTGCAACACAGATACACATGGTTCCCACATGACAAGAACTTATGGGGAACCTCCCTTCCATTGATGTTTGGATGCATGAGTATAATTAAGACAAACAGGGCCTCAGAGTTTCCTCCTGTGTAGTTAACACTGAACAACAAAAAAACCCCTGTACATTTTATACACATCTAAGGCCTTCCTCCATTGTGAACTCTCATGTGCTGAGAAAGGTTAGATTTTCTGCTAAAAGATTTGCCACATTCACTACAATCATAAGGCCTTTCTCCCGTGTGAACTCTCTGATGATAATGGAGTGTGGAACGAGAAGTAAAAGATTTCCCACATTCATTGCATTCATACGGCCTTTCTCCTGTGTGAACCCTCTGGTGAATAATGAGGTGAATTCTTTGGGTAAAGGATTTCCCACATTCACTGCACTCATGGGGCCTTTCTCCTGTGTGAACTCTCCGGTGTCTAATAAGTATCGAGCTATTTGTAAAAGATTTCTCACACTCACTGCACTTGTAAGGCCTTTCTCCTGTGTGAACTCTCTGATGATAACCAAGGGCAGAGACAGAAGTAAAAGATTTTCCACATTCATTACACTCATAAGGTCTTTCTCCTGTGTGAACTCTCCTGTGTTTAGAGAGGTATGAATTCTGACTAAAGGATCTCCCACAATCAGCACATTCATAAGGTTTTTCTCCAGTGTGAACTCTCTGATGTTGATTCAACTGGGAACTATCCCTAAAAGATTTTCCACATTCACTGCAGTCAAAAGGCCTTTCTCCTGTGTGAACTCGCTGATGACAACGGAGGGCAGAACTAGAGGTAAAAGATTTCTCACACTCACTGCACTCATAAGGCCTTTCTCCAATATGAACTTTCTGATGATAACGAAGGGCAGAGCCAGAAGTAAAACATTTTCCACATTCACGACATTCATAAGGCCGCTCTCCTGTGTGAACTCTCTGATGTATATTGAGGTGATTTCTTTGGGTAAATGATTTCCCACATTCACTGCACTCATAAGGCCTTTCTCCTGTGTGAACTCTACGATGTCGAATGAGTATCGGACCATTGGTAAAAGATTTCCCACATTCGGTGCATTCATAGGGTTTTTCTCCAGAGTGAACTCTCTGATGATAACAGAGGGCAGAGCCAGAGGTAAAAGATTTCCCACATTCACTACACTCAAAAGGCCTTTCTCCAGTGTGAACTCTCTGGTGTTGGGAGAGGTAAGATTTGTGGCTAAAGGACTTCCCACATTCACTGCACTCATAAGGTCTTTCTCCTGTGTGAACTCTTCGGTGTATAATGAGGTGATTTATTTGAGTAAAAGATTTTCCACAATCACTACACTCATATGGCCTTTCTCCTGTATGAACTCTCTGATGGTAACGGAGGCCAGAGCTAGAGGTAAAGGATTTCCCACATTCACTACATTTATAGGGTTTTTCTCCAGTGTGAACTCTCTCATGATAACGGAGAGCAGAGCTAGAAGTAAAAGATTTCCCACATTCATCACACTCATAAGGCCTTTCTCCTGTGTGAACTCTGCCATGTTCAATGAGGTCAGATTTTCGTTTAAAGAATTTCCCACATTCAGTGCACTCAAAACTCATTTCTCCAGTATCAACTGTCTGTTGTTGAATATGAACAGAGCTATGCCTGAAAGATGGCGCACACTCACAACACACATAACAACTTTCTCCAGTGTGACTTCTCTGAGGATAAATGAGGACGAATTTTTGGTTAAAGGATTTCCCACATTTGCCACACTTGTGCTGCCTTGCCCCAGAATGAATTCTTCGGTGTTGACTGAAGGTTAAGCTTCCCCTAAAGGATTTTCCACAGTCTTCACAAACACGAATTTTGTCATCAGTGTGGACTCTCTGGTGAATAACAAATGAAGATTTGTACCTGAATGTTTTCCCACACTCATGGCACGTAAAACACTGTCTTTTAGTGTGCACACCTGAATCCTGAACAAGTGTGTTTTTCGGACTAAGGGCTTTCTTGCGTTCTTCCCAAGTACGACTACTTTTTATGCTTTGAAAAGACACTTTATTTTTGGAGATTTTGTTTGGCTTCTCTCTGGTGTGAGTCGCCTGTTGCTGGAGATGTCCTGAGGTGGTCATGCAGTCTTTCCCAACCTCCTCACAGGTAATGGGCTTCTGTGACTTAGGGAAATTGCAGCTCTTTGCAAACGAGGCTCTGTTCACATCACTTATAAAGAGTTTTTCTCCTGTGCGATGCTCCTGGTACTGCTGACAGTTTGCACTGAAATCAAATTGTTTTGCACATGACCCACATCTCAACAGTTTCAGGCTGTGTAGTGTTTCCTGGTTTTCAGTCAAGTGGAAGATGTGTCTCAATACCGAACCACATATCTCACAAGGATGGGTCTTCTGGGAAGATGGAGGTTCCTCTGGAGTTCTGGTCTGTGACACTCCTACAGGAATGCTCTGTTCAGATGGTGCCTCCACATCCTTTGCTCCACAACAGCAACCTGAGTGCAAAGAAATGCTGGTGAAGTACACATTGACTTTATTGGCAAGGAGCAATGCAATCACAAATGTTCAAATGAAAACCAAAAAAGAACTGAGATAACTATGCTTATGCTAGACAAAATAAGACTTTTTAAGTCCAAAACTGTCACAAAAGGCAAAGAACCTCCTGATACCAAGTAATCAAGAGAAAATAACTGTTGTAGTACATATGTACCCATAATTGGAGCACCTAAATATACTAGGTAAGTACTAACTAACGCAAAGACAAAAATAGACAGCAATATGATAAATGTAGGGGACTTCGATACTCTGATTGCTAGAATAGATAGATCACTGAAACAAAAATATCAGTAAAGGAATATTGAATTTAAACTCCCCTTAAGAGCAAATGAGCTCTTCCCGAAAGCAATGAGAGATGACTTCTGAAAATGGTTCACTACTCACCTGACCCAGAAAACCCCACAAAATCATCCAAATTAACAGGTTCAAATGTTCGTGTTCACTTTAAGAAAATTCACAAAACTGCCAGACCAAGAAGGGTATGCATATTCAAAAAGCCACCAAATATCTGAAGGATGTCACTCTGGATAAGCAACATGCACCCTTCCATCATTACAATGGTGGAGTAAGTAGGCATGCCCAGTCCAAACAGTGGTGCTAGATACAGGGTTAGTGGGTCAAAAAGAAGGCCGTAGTTTTGCTGCACAAGCTTAAAAATGCAGGGAATGATGATGAACTTAAAGGTTTAGAGGACAGATTCTCTGGTCATTGAGCACAATCAGATGAACAAAGCTCCTAAGATGTAGTGTAGAATTTACAGAGCTCCTGGGCAGATTATCCCATACACAGTGCTCTCCCTACCACAATGAGATGATCCTCACTGAAAAGGAACAGACTGTTCCAAAACCAGAAGAGGAAGTTTCACAAATGAAAAAGATATTACAGAATAAAACTGAAGAAATAAAAGCTTATGGCCAAGGAGTATATTCAGCATAAAATAAATACTGCCCTGGCTGGTGTGCCTCAGTAGACTGAGTCATGGCCTGCGAACGAAAGGGTCACCAGTTTGAGTCCTAGTCAGGACACATGCCTGGGTTGCAGGCCAGGTTCCCATTAGGGAGTGTGTGAGAGAGAATCACACACTGATGCCTCCCTTTCTTTCCCTCGCTCTAAAAATAAATAAATAAAACCTTAAAAATAAAATAAAATAAAATAAAATAAAATAAATACCAATAAAAGTTAAAAAAAAAAAATAGCCCTGGCTGGTGTAGCTCTGTGGATTGAGCACCAGACTAGGTGAAGCAAAGTGTCACAAGTTCAATTCCCAGTCAGGGCACATACTTAGGTTGCGGGCCAGGTCCCCAGTTGGGGGCCCACGAGAGGCAACCACACATTGATGTTTCTCTCTCTCTCGCTCTCCCTTTCCCCCTCCCTAAAAATAAATAAATAAATAAATAAATAAATAAATAAATAAATAAATCTTTTTTGGTTTAAGTTAAGAAAAAAGAGAGAGAGAGAGAGAGCAAATGAACCAAATCCTGGCGGGGTAACTCTGCAAGTTGTCCTGATACACCAAGGTTGCAGGTGCAATCCCCAGTTCAGACACATACAAGAAGCAACCAATTGCCCTGGCTGATGTGGCTCAATGGATTGAGTGTCAGCCTGCAAACCAAAGGGTGTCTCGTTCCCAGTGAAAGCACACGCCTGGGTTATGGGACAGGTCCCCAGTTGTGGACTTGGGAAAAGCAACCTACTGATGTATCTCTCATACATCAATGTTTCCCCCTCTCTCTTTCTCCCTCCCTTCCCTACTCTCTAAAAATAAATATTTTTTTAAAAAGAAGCAAGCAATGAATGTATAAATAAGTGGAACAACAAATCGGTATCTGTCTCTCTCTGTCTCCTCTTGAAAACGAATAAATAAAAACTTGTTAAAAAAACCCCCAAATGTACCTAACAGACATCTTTAGAAGACACAGCAGAGTACATTCTTCTCAAATACACAAGGAACATATGATAAAACAAATCACCTATTGGGTCACAAAACAAGTCTTAATAAACTTAAGAAGACTGAAATCATATCGAGTATCTTTTCCAATAAAAATGGAATGAAAGTAAAAATCATTAGAAGGAAGAATGATGGAAAAATAAAATATGTAAATTTTAAACAACACACTCTTGAAAGATCAATTAGTCGAAGATACCAAAAATATATATTCAGACAAATGAAAATGGAAACATAACTTAGAGAATGCTACAAAAGCGGCAGTAAGAGGAAAGTTTATAGTGATAAATGTATACATTAATATAAAAGAAACATCTCAAACAACTTACCTTTATACTTTAAGGTATGAGGGAAAAAACAAACTAAGATCAAAGCAGAAGAAAATAAATAACAAAAATCAAAGCAGAAATAAGTGAAAGAGAGACAGGAAAAACAACAGAAAAGACCAATGAAACTAAGAGATGGTGTTTTAAGAAGATAATCAAATTGACAAACCTTTATATAACCTAAGAGAAAGAACTCAAATAAAATCAAAAATGAAAGTAGACATCACAACCGATAGTACAGGAATATAATCAATCAGAAGAGACTATGAAAAACAATGATATGTTAGCAAATTGAATAACCTGGAAGAAATTAAAAACTTCCTGGAAACAGAGTTCTGGCCAAGATGGAGACACAGGCAGAAACCCTTCGCTTCCTCGCACAACCAAAAGGAGGATAATGACCAATCTAAAACCAATAAACAACCAGAAGCACCAGAAAATCAAACCACATGGAACTCCAACAACCAAGGAATTAAAGAAAAAAATCAAACAGAACAACCAGATAGGTGCGCCAAGACAAAAAATATGGCCCAAATGAAAGAACACATCAAAACTTCGAAAAGACAGCTATGCAATAGGGAGATGGCCAACCTATCTGATGGAGAATTTAAAGCCCTGGTAATCAAAATGCTCACAGAAATGATTGAGTTTGGTTGAAAAATGAAAAAACAAATGAAAGATACCCAAAATGAAATAAAGCAAAATATTCAGGGAACCAACAGTGACAGGAAGGAAACCACGACTCAATGTAACAATTTGGAACGAAAGGGAAAAATCCAACCAGAACAGAATGAAGAAACAAGAATTAAAAAAAGTGAAGAGACTTACGAACCTCTGAGACAACCTGAAACATTCCAATATCCAAATTATAGGGTTGCCAGAAAAGGAGGAAGACCAAGAAATTGAAAACTTATGTGAACAAATAAGGAAGGAAAACTTCCCCAATCTGGCAAAGGAAATAGACTTCCAGGAAGTCCAGGAAGCCCAGAAAGTCCCAAAGAAGTGGGACTCAAAGAGGAACACACCAAGGCACATCATCATTAAGTTACTCAATATTAAACATAAAAAGAAAATCTTAAAAGCAGCAAGAAGGAGAAAGTCACTTACAAAGGAATGCCCATAAGGCTATCAGCTGATTTCTCAAAAGAAACTTGCAAGCAAGAAGGGACTAGAAAGAAGTATCTTAAGTCATGAAATGCAAGGACCTACATCCAAGATAATTCTATCCAGCAAAGCTATCATTTAGAAAAGAAGGGCAGATAAAGTGCTTCCCAGATAAGGTTCAGTTAAAGGAGTTCATCATCACCAAGCCATTATTATATGAAGGGACTTACCTAAGAAAAGGAAGATCATAAATATGAACAATAAAATGACAACTCACAACTATCAACAAATGAATCTTAAAAAAAAAAAAGAAAAACAACGAAAATAACTAAGCAAACAACTAGAATAGGAACAAAATCAGAGAAATGGACATCACATGGAGGGATTTCAGTGGGGAGGGGGAAGGAGGAATAGCGGGGAAAAGGTACAGGGAAGAAGAAGCATAATTAGTAGGCATAAAATAGACAGGGAGAGATAAAGAATGGTGTAGGAAATAGAGAACTCGAAGAATTCATATGTACAACCCATGGACATAAACTAAGGGGCAGGGAATGCTGGAGGGTTGCGGGGCAAGGCAGAGGGGGAATAAAGGGGAAAAAAATGGGAAAGCTATAATAGCATAATCAATAAAAATACTTAAAAAATAAAAAAATAAAAATTTCCTTTTAACATATAAACCATCAAAACTGAATAATGTAGAAACAGGAAATCTAAATAGATCTATAACTGGTAAGAAAATTGAATCAGCAATCAAAAATCTCCCAACAAACAAAAACCCAAGACTAAGAAGAATCAATGCTACTAAAAAAGAGTTAATGTCAATCCTTCTGCAAATCTTCCAAAAAGTTGAAGAGGTGACACTTACAAACTCATTTTATGAGATGCATTACCCTGATATCAAAGTCGTTTAAGGAAGATACAAGGGAAGAAATTTACAGGCCAGTTATCTTTGATGAGTACAAATGCAAAAATACTCAACAAAATACCTATAAACTACATCTAACAGCACATTAAAGGGTGATACACCACAATCAAGTAGAATTTATTATCCCTGGCATGTAGTACAACATACGTAAATGAATAAATGTGATACACCAGATTAACAGAACAAAGGATCAAAAGCACAAACATACAAACACATACAGGAAAAAAGCTGACAAAACTCAATATCCTTTCATGATAAACAACCTTCAACAAATTAGGTCTAGAATCTAACCCAAAGCTAACATCATACTCAACAATCAAATGCTAAAAGGTTTTCCTCTAACATCAGGAACTAGAGAAGGATGCCCATGCTCTCCACTTTTGTTCAACGTAGTACTTAAAGTCTCAGCCAGAATAAAGAAAACAAGAAATTAAAGAGCACCCAAATTAGAAAGAAAGAAGCAAAACTGTTTGCAGATGAAATCATCTTATGTACAGAAAACCCTAAAGACTCTACCAAAACAGCTTTAGAGCTAATCAGCGAATTTGGTAAAGTTGTAGGATAAAAAAAAAATCAATAGACAAAACTCAGTTGTGTTGGCCAGGTAGTTCAGTTGATTAGAGTGTTGCCCCAACATGC